CTAATGTAAAAGCATTGGTATCTCTTGACCTCAAAGCTCCTGTAAAAACAACGATTTCTTTAATTTTTTCAAACGAAGCTGCATTATTCTGATTATCCTCTACTACATGGATTGTTATGTCTTTCGCATAGGATTCTAATAGCTCTTTATTGCCATCTACAAGTTCCTTGAAGATATCTTGAAGTTGTTGATATCTTGAATCCTCTTTCGGTTCATTGGTCATTTGTGAGAATAAATTATTTTCACAAATCATCCATTCATCTACAGCTTTGTAAAAGGATTTGTTGAAAACAGGAATTTTTACCATATTACTTCGGTACTTATATATACAGTATAGACTTGCTATAATACCTCTTAATAAGGGAGGACACATAAAAAATAAAAATACCATTGGTATTACAAATTTGAGCAATGTAGGAAAAATTGAACGTTTTGATTGAGTGTTGTTTTTTCCTTCAGTTTGCTGCATTATATATTCTATTAGATTCACTAGATTCGGATAAATATATTTCACGAAAATATTAAGATAAAAAAATATTTTTATACAGTATTTTTTTCTAACAATTAAAATCTAAAAGTAAACAAGAAAGCTATTTGTAAAAAAATTTTCATTATATATTTAATATTATTCAATATTAATATATATTATAATCTGTTTTAAAATATTAAATTTAAATTAAAAATATGAAAATTTAAAAATATTATTAAAATATACAAGTATCAGAGTCATCAATCAACAATCAATCAACAATTCTGTCACCGTTTGCTTTTGTGAATGGAATAAATACCCAAATATGGACATTTTTATAAGCATCGGTGGTTCAGTGCTAGAATGCTCGCCTGCCACGCGGGCGCCCCAGGTTCGATTTCTAGTCTATCCTTTTTTTTTTTTTACAATTTTTAAAACTCATTTATATTATTAAAACTAGCGGATGTACCCGGCTTCGCCCGGGGTTTTACCTGAGTAAAGGTTTGTCTAACGAACATTTTTAAAAACAATTCTCTATAAACTTATTAAAAAAATAATAGATATATTTTGATAATTTGAAACTCGTAAATTTGAATCTCTCGATAAAGTGAACATTTTTTCCCGGTCCCTGTGTACCGTGTCATCCTGAATTTTGTCTTTCCTAATTTTCTACATTACAAAATCATCGTTTTATCTAGTGAACATTTTTCCCCGGTCCCTTGAAAAATACTCGATAAGTTGAATAAAATCAATATTAATTGGTTCCCTCGGTAATTGGAAGTTAAAGGAATAGTATTTTCGCCTTGAAATTGTATCATTATTCTTGTCTCAAATAAATTGCCGTGTCATCCTGAGATAATCTTACTTTTGATAAATAATCTTTAAGATAATAAACTTAGTGATTGAGATAAGAGGATGCCAGCGGGCGACGCTGGCCTCGGGACGCTGGGAATTCTGCGAGAAGCGGCGGCTGGCCAGCCGGCCTGCGCGCGCACCGGGGGCTGCGCGCGCACTTTTCGAACACCGCCTGATATCGCCGGCTGTTTACCGCGCGTCGCTACAACCTGCGGCGGTTCCTTCCATTATATAATACTCTAGGCGCTGGTGGAGTAAAAACTGTACTCCACCTGCCTCTTATAATTGTATGTAATTTTTGGACACTTATTAAAATATAAATTCTTAATTTATAGTTCTCACTGCAGCTCGAACCTTTACCCTAACGCGGTAGAACATGGCGCAGTCGACATTCGGTTAATTATAGCCGTTTTTTAAGTGACAGCTCAGTGACAATTAGTAATCAAGATGCCCTCAAGAAGGAATCGCCGACCATCCCAAACCCCTCCAGAGAACCCTGCCTCGCCGACCAGCACCGACATCCTCAGGTCCATAGCCGCACTGTTGCAGCAGATGGCTACTCGGAATCCGACACCGACAGTCCCATTAGGAGCTCCTCCTCACCACGCCACAAAAATCATCCAGCTTCCTAAACTGGCTTCCCCGGAGGAGTTAACGATGTCTTTTTTCCGCGATTGGAAACAACGTTGGAACGACTACGTGGACGCCCAACAAGTAGCCACCTTCCCGCTATCCACACAGCAAGTGACTTTGCGTGCCGCCCTCCATTCCGAATGGACCATCCTTTGGCAATCAGGCCGCCTTCATATTTCTACCACCACCACCCTCGATGAAGCCGTGAATGCTCTCGAGGCCTACCTACGCAAGAAGCGAAACCCCCTCCTTGATCGGCAAGATTTTCATCGTAGGGACCAACAAACCGGAGAATCGGTGGATCGCTACTTCGCAGCCCTTAAAGCTCTTGATGACTCGTGTGCACATGAGCTGGATTTTAAGTGCAGCACATGCGGCGACCCGTGTATTACAATATGCACAAAAAGAGCTTGTGGGAAAACGTTTGCCCTTGCTGGTTATCAACAGCAACTCCGTATCCGTGACAGGTTAATATGTGGCCTGTTTGATAAAGACCTCCAACGAAAAGTACTGGCGGAGCAGTACAATTCCGACCTCTCCCTGGACCGAGTCCTCTCAATTTGCATCGCACATGAGAGTGCTACCGCCGTGGGCGCGACTCTTTCACCCTCCCCAACCACCTCCCCCGAAGCCTTCATTGCAACCAGACGTGCACCATCAACCTACAAGCATCAACAAGCCAGCTCGTCTGAAACCTCACCTAAGGCCAACCGTTTCTTTCAGAAACCCTATGATCCTAACGACCCCTGCTCCGGATGTGGGGCGAACCCAAGACACCGCCGTGACCAGTGCCCAGCAAAAGACATAGAGTGTAACAAATGAGGCATCACCGGGCATTACGGAAGGGTTTGCCGACAACTGAAACGGAAACCCACAACCAAACCTAATATCCCGCCACCCGCAACCAGAAACAATCAGTCCCAACCAGGACCCTCAAACACAGTTGTTGCAGCTGGAGTACGCAACGAACTCATAACCATTACGACCGATATCAACCATAAGTTACACCAAATCCGTTGGCTGGCGGACCCGGGATCAGATCTGGATCTAATCCCAGAATCAGAATTCCTGTTACTGGATGAGCAGACCCGATCAGCACTCAACCCGAAGAACGTCCCTTGCGTAGGAGCCAACGGCATCAGCTTAAGTCCTTGTGGATCGTTCGTCGCGGCACTGCATCTCAACGGGAAAACATACAGTACTACCGTTGGAGTCTGCAAGCACCTGAACGCCCCTCTCTTGAGCAAGTGCGGATGCAAAGCCTTAGGACTTCTGCCGGATAACTGGCCCCATTCAATGATCGTCAATGCCATAACCAACGGACAAGTTCTAACGTTCCCGCCGACCCCGGTGAGAGCCAATGAGATCGATAAGCAGTCTATCCTTACCCATTATGCTAGAGCGTTCGACGACACAGTGTTAAAACCCATGCAAGGACCCCCCATGTCTATCGAACTAGTTAAAGATGCCGTTCCTTGCAAACGCTACCGGGCATACAACGTTCCCTTTCACTGGAGAGACCCCGTCAAAACTCAACTCGATACCATGTTGGCGAAAGGGATAATCGAACAGGTACCCGTCGGCGAAGCCATCGATTGGTGCCATCCTATGGTAGTCGTCCAGAAAAAAGGCTCATCAGAACCGCGCGTAACCGTGGACCTCACCGGACTGAACAAATACGTCCGACGACCCGCCTATCCAGTCAGGGTACCCCGCGAGGTTGTTGCTCGCATCCCACCAGGCATGCAGTTTTTCAGCACGCTAGATGCCCGTCACGGTTATTGGCAAGTCCCCCTCGATGAAAAGAGTAAAAAACTAACCACCTTCATCACACCATGGGGAAGTTACCGCTATTGTCGCAACGTGATGGGATTGTGTTCCGCCGGAGACGAGCAAAACCGTCGTGGAGACGAAGCCCTATTTGGAATACAGAACGTAGAAAAAGTGGTAGAGGACATCATTATCTTCGATTCAGACTACAAAACACACGTCCAACGTGTTCGACAGGTCATTTCCCGGTGTCAGGAACATGGAATCACCCTCAACCAGAAGAAGTTCGTATTCGCTCAGCCAGAAGTCGACTGGTGCGGCTTCCGTATAAATTCTTCCGGTTACACACCTTCTCCACATTTGTACTCCGCTCTAAAGAATTTCCCGATACCAACCAACAAGACCGACGTGCGTTCCTTTAACGGCCTTGTTCAACAGTTTGAGGCTTTTTCCCATCATCTAACCGAGCTATCCGCGCCAATCCGATCACTTTTGTCAGCCAAAGCCGCCTTCGTTTGGGAGAACCCCCACCAGCGAGCTTTTGACGCAGTCATTCAAGAACTCTGCAGCTCACGCATCCTAGCACAGTTCTCCCCAGGACAACCCCTCCGCCTAGAAACGGACGCAGCACAGACCCAGGGACTAGGATATGCCCTTTATCAACAACAACCTGATAGTCAATGGAGACTTCTCCAGGTAGGATCCCGCAATGTGACTCCTGCAGAGTCCCGGTATAGCGCCACGGAAATTGAGTTATTAGCTGTCGTGTGGGCAGCCAAGAAATGCAAGTTATTTCTTATGGGATCTCATTTCGAACTTATAGTCGACCACCGTCCCCTTATTCCCATACTGAACTCCAAAACTCTGGACGAGATAGAAAACCCAAGGCTCCTCCGGCTAAAGGAAAAGCTGACTCCGTACCTCATTACGGCAGTTTGGCGTCCGGGAAAGAAACATACCGTTGTCGACGTGCTCTCTCGCCACCCATCCCCAGTTCCCGACGTTTACGATACCGATGATCATCCTGATTCTGATCCCGCACCTCTCATTGCCGCTGCAGTAGTAGACCCGGTCGACGGATCCAGGGTAATGGAGGATTCGTTAATACGACAAATCAGAGCAGCCGCAGAGCATGATGGAGAGTACAAACGTATACGCAATATCATCCCTCAAAAGATTCAACGTAAAGAAGACCTCGACGAAGATCTTCGCCCCTACTGGAGAGTATTGCACCAACTAAGCGTACGCGAAGAACTCGTTTTCTTAGGCTCTCGCCTACTCATCCCAACACCATTACGCTCAGAAGTGCTAAAAATACTCCATGCTTCGCATCAAGGCCAAGACCGGACTCTTCGACGCGCTGGCCAATCTGTCTTTTGGCCGAGCATCACTAATGACATCCGGAACGTAGTAAAAACGTGTGCCGAGTGTTCAGCCTATCTACCCTCGCAACAGAAAGAACCACTCTATTCCGACCCGCCGCCTAGCTACCCATTTCAACATGTTTCCTGCGACCTTTTTTCGCACGCTGGATACCAATATCTCGTTATGGTCGACCGCTTTTCAGGTTGGATCAACGTGACGCAATGTGGCAGAGCACCCACGTCCACCACGGTCATCCGTCACCTTCAAAAGTGGATGGCAGATTACGGCATCCCAGAGATACTCACATCCGACAATGGTCCCCAATTCTCCTCTCAAGAGTTTCGGAGTTGGACAAAGCGTTGGAACATCGAGCACTCCACCTCATCTCCACACTTTCCTCAATCAAATGGACTTGCCGAAGCGGCCGTAAAAGCGATAAAGTACCTAATCAGCAAGACCACCACCAATGGGAATCTCAAGTCCGACACATTTTTAGAAAGTTTGTTGGAGTTCCGAAACACGCCCAAAGCAGAGGGACGAAGTCCAGCGCAGATTGTGTTTGGTGCCCCGACACGTACCAAGCTACCGCTTCACCGTAGTCAGTTTGCCAAGGAATGGAGAACAAGGATTTCAGAATGCGATCAACGAGCCCAGAACTTAAGGCAGAAAGCCCTCAAGCGATACAATCGCAACGCCAAGCCACTCTCACAATTGGAAGTGGGAGCAATAGTCCTTGTCCAGGATCACCGCACAAAACATTGGACCCTCCTTGCTGAGGTTCTCGAACAA